CCTGCGACTCGCACAGTTCATTTGTAACACTTTACTTGTGGTGAAATTTGACTGCTCACATTTTATTCGGCAAATTCATCCGGCAGTTCTAGTTTCTAGGTTTGCAATCAGGATTTAAAACTCTATTGGTAGGTACTAATAAAAATTATATGGGAAACTGCCTCCTGCTTCCTGTAGAATGCCTTCTACGGGAAGCAGGGCAAGAAGTTGAAGATATCTTTGACAGGGTTATCTCGTTTACTGCGAAGTGAGGTGAGAGGGTCGTAAGCAGAGTCAACCCTGCGTTGCGCAGTTCGCAACGGCACGTTGAGAGATCCTCAACGCACGCTGTATGGGCGGAGACACAGACGGCTCGAGCATGCGAGTGTGAATGTTCGCGCGAGAGAACGTGTCTAATCGGGCGAAACTGCGCAACGTGGCCGTTGAGAACTGCGCAACGCAGGGTTGACTCTGGTCGTAAGCGCAAAGATCAACAAGGACGCAGCGGTGCTGCTGCCACTCACCCGCTGTGTCACCACTAATTTTACAAGTTTTTTTGGTTGGACTAAAGCAACTGGTATCTTAATGCTGCATGAAATCAAAATTCAAAAGGAAAGTGCTTGTTGCCTTGCTAGTTGTGTTGCAGATGATGACAAAGGGAAGTAGCTTGCCTTGTAAAAAGAATTGTAATGTGTTGAAAGAATGTAAGTTTGAATTATTTACTCCAATTCAGTGCAAGCGTTTAAGGAATCTTGTGAGAGCGGAAATCAGCATACATTTGAAAACGGAAAGATTTCTTGACATTATCACATGCTGCAGCCGCAAGCACAGGGTGGGCCAAAATTATGAGGACCGCGTGCGCGCGGTCATATCCACTTTTTTCCGAGTCGCTCCATTTTCATCTCCTTTTCTGTGCACTATGTGAAGGGTACAATGTCTTCTTCCTAATGAAACCAAATTTCATGCAGTTCTCAAAACTAGTGAAATAACAACATCACCTTACGTCAGTCCTCAAATTGAACTCACTAGGGGCTCTGGCACGTTACATCTAGCGGCAGTCTAACGTATCAGGGAAGCTCTTATGAGCAACAGTTCAACTCTTCAATAAGTTTGGAACCACCACAGATGGAAAATTCGGAGACTCGAAAGTTACAGTTACCACCAGGACAATTATCAGATGCAGAAACTAGGTCTCCCCTTGTCGACTTTCGTACTCCCAAAATGAAAAAATTGATGTGAAAACCCAGCCAGACACTCTAAAGACTCCACATCTGTAGTGGATAGAAAGCCTTGGGACTTTTTACAGGACCGAGCACCCAAGAATAAAGCAAAAATTCTCTAAAAAGCGATTTTTCGAGTTCGTTGCTTTCGAAGAATTGTTACAATGGAACCTTCCACCTAATAGCTCTAGATTTCTGTATTTTACACCCTGGATGCAAGCGCAAATAAATGCCCACAAAACTTTGATTCCCTGAAGAAAGCAGAGCAGAAGGCCTGGAAACATTTTGACACGCCTCAGTTGCGTGCCACCGCACGCGCCATCCCCTTCATCTGAAGGCTCGTGTAAACGGGGCAGGTGGCAGATCTCAATTCTATTCTGGAATTACTTTGAGATAAGAGTTACAAACACTTCCCTGAAGTTTGTTTGTTCCATCAAGCTACTATGCGTTTTTAACGACACAATGTCTTGGTCCTCATAATTTGGTCCACCCTGTACATCCATCGGCACAGGGTTGGAAAGGAAGCGACGTAAATGAAGGGATGATCGCATTATTCCATGAGCGTGAGAGTTATGCTGATTGATCAAAGCTAGAAACATCTCGCTTGTCTCATCTCGCAAGCTGTCGTGTAGACAGAGCACTTTCAGCTGACTCTGTGTGGGGTTACTACATATCGCATACCAGAACGGAATCGCTCTTCACTGAGTGTATCTTTTCCAATTTCTTGCATTAAGATTATTTATCAT